ATATGACGCGTTTGCTACCAGCCAATCAGCGCTCGAGTTACCGAGCGCTGATTGGTGGAGAGGGCCGTCGTCAGCAGCTAATTACACGTTGTTTTCCTTGAACATGTGCGTGAGCGCTGATGCTGCTCACGGGCTGTTGCCATTTTTCGTAATGCTGAAGGCACGGGAGCGAACCCCCCTGGGTAGGTACCTAGGTACTAGGTAGTCTTTCTCAGATATAGGTAGGTAGCGTATATATCTTTCCCGAGCGAAAAAAACAAACATTCCAGTTTTTTGGCGCTTTTGTTTCAATTATGGTGGTTCTGTTCGAAGGCTCATACAGATGGTGTTTGCGCAAAATTTCTAACGGAAAATCACCGACTATTTAGTGTCGACAGCTGCATATTAACTTTTTGAACACGCCTCCATCACTGCTTGTTTATTGGCTGTCCGTGGTATTGGGATTTGGGCTGTGTTGCTGTATATACCGTGTGTTGCTGGGTGATTGTGATAATATTCTGATGATTAACCTTTTTATTCAGCGGTAGAGACCCACAAGTTGACTCCATTATAAATATTGTCTCTTTATCATGAAACAGACTCAGAAACCTTGGCATGAATGCTCTCAGGCTCTCAAGAGAATGTTGAAATTCAGGTCTCAAAAGATTAAAATTACAATAATGAAATGTTTCACCTACCTTCCAAGCCATAAACACTCATATTGGTACTGGATGGAACTTAAAATAAAAAAGGGGTGGATAATTAGGGGTTTGTAGCACCCCCTGGGATTTTCCACCAATGAAGTAGGTACCTATATGCTGCAGAGACCAGGGCCCTGTTTCACCGTTGATAGCAGCATGCTACTATCAAATTGCGCGAGCTGACGTAATGTGATGAGGTCACACTTATGACGTTTCATGTAATCTGTGAGCTGCGTTTGGAACAGAGTTGCTGTTTCGTTGAATGCGATGTGTTTGATCGCACGACCGTGAAGCTGTTGGCAGCAATGTTTGATGACATCACACAGATTGACGGCGTCATGGTTTGCTGATGTTTCCGTGGAAACCCAATTTGACACGTGTGATAGCAGCGTGCTGCCATCACCGGTGAAACAGGGCCCAGAATAGCATGGTCTGTGTTGCACATATTGATGCTGAAGCTATACCTACAAATGTCTTTCAGATAACCTACTGAGTGTTCACATTCATCACAAATGCAGTCATTCTCCGGTATATTACATCTGATGTGCTGGGCATCATCAATGTCAGGTATGCACCCTTTACTTTTTTCCTATCATGCATCAGTGATGCATCCAATGTCTGAGTTCCTAAGTAGAACATATGCTATTTTCTCACCAGAACTGTAGTGTGTACTCCATAAGAAAAATGCTAATTTTGCTGAATTTTGCTCTGAATTTGCTGAAAAATGCTGAAGCAGTTGCTGACGGAGGGCGAGCGCTACCTGATGACCGCCTTCCACCTGCTCGACTTCTCCGAGCAGGGCCTGTACGACGTGGTGGCCAACCTGGGCAGCCTGGCGGCCCGCTTCCTCTTTCAGCCAGTCGAGAAGAACGCCTACGTCTACTTCTCGCGCACAGTGGAACGGGGAAAGGTAGGTGGCAACGTGGCTGATTGTGTGGTAGGAGGTGATTGATGTTAGTTTTTTTTTGTGTTTTTTTTTACTGAGGAGTAGTGGCATTTGGTGAAAATATCAGTAACGTTGACCACAGTGTGTCGATGCCCGGTAAGGCGCCGAAAAAGCTGTAAGCACACACTCCTCTGATATTAGCCAATTATACTCGTAGCTACTCTTCATCTCCGCTATAAGTCCTTACTGCCAGTCGTTGTGATCTTCATCTTGGTGTCTTTTTTGTCATTCGGTTTGTTTTATTGCCCAGCTTCTATCCTTCTGGCCATCTCTCCCCTTCTCGCCAGTCACTGGAAGGGGACAGTTTGGCACCTCTCCTCCAGCCGGTGCCTGACAGCTCCCTCCCCCTCCAGCCGGTGTCTGCGGTGGCGGGCCGGGCCGGGTGCTACACGACCTACTCCGCGCTATGAGTCTGACCCTACCCCCTCTCCCTGCAGCCGGTGTCTGCCGCGGCGGGCCGGGTTCTGCACGACCTGCTGCGCGCCATGAGCCTGCTCGGTCTGGTTGCCGTCACGTTCGGCTGGAGCTACCCCCCCCCCCCCCCCCTGCTGCTGCGGCTGTACGGCGGCGCCCTGCTGGCCGCCGGTCCGGCCGTCAGTTTGCTGCGCGCCCAGTGCGCCTACGTGCTCCTACTGGCGGTGAACGGAGTGCTGGAGTGCTACACGTTCGCGGTGATGCGCCAGGAACAGATCAATGGGTAAGTGCCGTGGAGGGTTTATGGAAAGCAGTCGGGAAATGGTCGGTGGCTTAGTAAGGAGTGAGGTAAATTAGTCGGTAGAGGCTGAGCGGATTAGGAAATGACGTTCTCATGTTGGTTTTTGTTGTTAGACTGCCTTTTGCGGCTAAAGGCGAAGTAGAAAGGCTGGCCAGTTGTGTCGATAAAGTGAAGCTAGGAACGCTACTATCGGGCGCTTTGACAGGTGTTGTGGCGTTTTCCGGTGTTTCAGGTATAACCGGAAGATGGTGCTGCTATCTGTGATATTCGTCATCTCGACAGGGATCTTTACTAGGCTATTCGGCGGGGTTGGATTTATCCTCGCCAACTGCGTCAATATGCTGACCAGGATATACGTTTGGTGAGTTTTTGTGTTTTTGAATAGATTTGATTTGTCCTAATTGGTCTAATTATTTACATCATTATCCAATCTGTCATGGATAGTCAATATCACGCTTTATCGCCGATCTCGATATACTTGGATCTCGTTACTTCACCCGTCCACGACTGATACGAATGTCTGCTGTCCCCAATAGTGTCCTGCACCCCTCTCAATTGTCATCCCGTCCCCTCCCCGTATGCTGCTGGTTCCCGATACAGTGCCCCGTGCCACTCTCAACCATCATGTCTTCGTCCCATTTTCTGCTGCTGCTGCCCGCTCGCCCCGTCCAGTGTGTTGCTGGCGCTTGATGCAGTGTCCCGTACCCCTTTCACCCTGTCCCCACCCCGTGTGTCGCTGATGCCCGATACAGTGTCCCGTACCTCTCTCACCCTGTCCCCGCCCCGTGTGTCGCCAGTTACCGGTTCGTGGCCGGTCTGCCGCTGGAGCCGGCGGTGTCCGTGCCGCCGCTACTCGGTCTCCGCCCGCCGCCCGCCGTGGCTGCCGCGCTGGTGACCGCCGGCCTGCTGGCAGCCGGCTCCGAGAGCTGGCTGTACCCCAGCTCCGCCGCCGCCCATGTGGCTGTGGGCGCGCTCTGTGGGGCCGCCGTGGTGGCCGCGGCGGTGTACAGCGAGCTCCGCCTCCTCCAGGCGGTCAGGGAGCGGGTCGGGGATAAACTGAAGCGCAGCTAGCGGGGAGTGCTACTCACATGGTCATGCAGGGAATAGGTTTGTTTTGTTGTGATATTTATGTGCATTTTGGGTTGAATATACACCGTGCCTGTAAGTAGAGTGGATGTATCAATTTTAAGACTAGTGCGACTGCAGGGGGCGTTGTGGCTATCGCCCATTTGAGAGCTGGACAGTGCTTGAAAGCAACTTCCTACCCATGAATTTTGGCATTCAGATCCTAATTATAGCCATCTGTGATGAACGATGCAGGGGATGCAGAAAATCGATGCAGAAAATCGTGGCCGGTTAGCGTCTGGTGGGGCTTGTAGGCTAATGATGGGCACGACCGGGTGCTGTATGCTATATGTGGTGACAGCAGCGTTCCTGAGCGTCAGGTGTATCTCTTGCTCTGAAGTCCAGAAGTCCTTATCGTTCTTGTGCATTCACTTTGTCAGTGCCTGATGTCAGTGTCAGTGTTTGTCAGTGTTTCATTCTGTAGCAGACATGCAGTCATATTTGGTTAAATAGAACCTTGCAGTCTGAGGCAGTCTTTTCATTACAGTACCTCATTACAGCGTCTCATTCATTACAGTTCAATATTTAGAAATGCAAGACATTGGGGCCGATCGGGCATAGAAATACAAAACAACAGTATACGCTCGCTGGCTATTATTCTGAGACTCAGCATTGAACCTGCCATCACTACAATACAGGAGGCGACAGGTGTAGAGGTGATGTCATAGGTACTCATTTATCAAGTTCAAGTTCTGCTGACTTGACCCACAAGTTGACTCCATTATAAATATTGTCTCTTTATCATGAAACAGACTCAGAAACCTTGGCATGAATGCTCTCAGGCTCTCAAGAGAATGTTGAAATTCATGTCTCAAAAGATTAAAATTACAATAATGAAATGTTTCACCTACCTTCCATTGCCATAAACACTCATACTGGTACTGGATGGAACTTAAAATAAAAAAACAGGGGTGGATAATTAGGGGTTTGTAGCACCCCCTGGGATTTTTAGAATTATCTACCGCTGAATAAAAAGGTTAATCATCAAAATATTATCACAATCACCCAGCAAAACACACGGTATATACACTATACAGCAACACAGCCCAATACAACAGACAGCCAATAAACAAGCAGTGATGGAGGCGTGTTCAAAAAGGTAATATGCAGCTGTCGACACTAAATAGTCGGTGATTTCCCGTAAGAAATTTTGCGCAAACACCATCTGTATGAGCCTTCGAACAGAACCACCACAATTGAAACAAAAGCGCCAAAAAACTGGAATGTTTGTTTTTTTCGCTCGGGAAAGATATATACGCAGGTAGGTAGTCGTCTTTTTTATAATTTGGTTCGAACCTTAGCCGGTCCCGTAGCTCAGTTGGTAGAGCGTTGGACTCCGCGTGGTGAGAGCACGCGTTCCCGGTTACAACAGTCCGGGTTCGAAGCGCGACGGGCGCTTGACATTTATGGGCCTCCTGACAGGTATGGTTGCGGTTGGTGGCAGGCCGTAGCCAGGCGAAGTCAGTGAGGGGACCGGCCGTGCGCGGCTATGTGCGCACGTTAAACTTTGGACTCTAAATTCTGCCATAGAACTGGAATTGCGCGATCGGAGGGTAGAGGGCAGGGTCACCGCAACAAGCTTCGCTTAGCGGTGGCTCTGTCCTTGTGAATCCTTCCCATCAAAAGGTTCGGACTAAATTTATAAAAAAAAACTTTTGAATGGAAGGATTCATGAGGACAGAGCCTGCAGTGTGACTGGAGCTTGTTGCGATGGCACTGCCCTCTACCTTACGGTCGCGCAATGCTGATTCCAGAGTCCTTGTTCAATGTTAATGACAGACAATTAAGAGGCTGAAAATCAAAGTTAAATGTATGCGCAAAGCTATGCATGGCCACCAGCTGGTTCCCCCTTACCGACTGTGGTTTTCTCTCAAACGATGAGCCGAATGCCGATGCAGTAAGACCCTCGGGCTCAGACGTGTGAGTCAGCCAATCAGCCTGCTCAAATCCATCACAGTGTAATCACACTGTAATGCTGATGGACTTGAGTTGCAGACCAACCTGTGCCTCTGAAGTGTGTCTAAGACCTGTGTCTCAGGCCTGTGCGAATTGTGACCTGTGTCTCTTGTGACCTATGCTTCAGAACTGTATCTCAGATGGCAGACCTGTGTCTCTGAACTGTGTCTCCGAGCTGTGCGACATGTATTTCGAGCTGTATGCCACAGCGTATCTAACCATTTGCCCTCTTCTCTCGCAGGCAACCCTGGTCTTTGGAATAAGGACCATCTTACATGCTCATCCAGCTTTCCATGGGACTCCTGAACTAATACTCTCAAGACTATAGGAACAAATATCAAATAATCATGACAAGGTAAACAAGCACTATAATTATTTGTAGGCTTGGCACCATATTTCTTCAAAAGACAGGACGGATACCTATCTCTTGTAACATTGTCCATTTAACTTTGTCATATAGCATAGCATTTCTTTGTCCTGCATGCCCATATGTCTACGCTCAACTCATTCCCTGGTTAGTTCACTGTTCAGAATAGTTTGAGCCATAGCACCATTAAATAAACTGCCGGTGCCTGGTCGAGTGCCGGGTAATTCTACTACGAATGCTTCTGTCATTTGCCTGGGACATATATGTAGTGCTTAGTATTGACTTCTAATAAATTAAGTAATCTCTGAACCGTGGCCGTGAATGAACCAATCAGGACTAGAAATTGAATGCGAGGCTGATTGAGCTAGCGCGTATGAGTCTCCGAGCTGACCTACGAAGACCGGTGTGGTGTCCCACTAGCAGTCGACCTAACCTCCGAGACCGGTCTTTGTTTCCCCAGGAGTCGGATAGAGCTCGGTGATGTCACGCAGCACAACATCAAACAGCTGAAGCGGCTGAACCAGGTGGTGTTCCCCGTCTCATACAATGAGAAGTTCTACAAGGATGTCCTCCACTCGGGAGAGCTGGCCAAACTAGGTGAGCTGATATCAGTTTTCAGTTGGGTGACCAAACAATACCGTTTATCGATCACAGACATACCAACCTTGATCGATCGGTATTGTACCATATCGTAGGAACATGTATGTATATTGTATAGTGTGTACCATAGACCTCTTTACACCCAGAGATCTACGCGTGTATTTATTTTGCTGTCAGTTTGGCGTTGGCGTCTGACACCCCTGTCTCCTACTCTTCCAGCATACTTCAACGACATCATGGTGGGCGCCGTGTGCTGCCGCGTGGACGTCATCGACGGCAAGCGTAAGCTGTACATCATGACTCTCGGCTGCCTGGCGCCCTACCGCAACCTCGGCATCGGCACCAAGATGCTGGAGCACGTGATGAAGTGCGTGGAGCAGGACGGCAACCTGGACAGCATCTTCCTGTGAGTGGGCGATCGGCGCCATGGGGTGTGGAATTGGATGATGAGCACTGAGCAGCCGCTTCCCAAAAATGTATTTTGACTTGGGTGTCAGAGGGGAAATTGCTCACCAGAAAGGGGATGAGCGCGGAAAATTGCCGGTCAGACAAGGCCCAAAGAGAGTGAAAAAGATGAATACCATGAATTGATACCTGTACAAGACTGGTATAATGCGGGAAGTGAAACCACTATCAACGCAACTACTTAATGTCGATAAAATTGGGAGTGGAAAATGGGACCATCTTAAAAATCGGAAATGAGAGCGAAAACTGATATTCATTTGGATGTTGTTTCCCACCCTAAGGAACAAATTTTGGGACACTGATTGAGGAGACTAGGATTTCACACAGAATGGCAGAATGTGGAGTAGAGGATAACTGCAGGGATTGTTTGTAAAGAAAGGTTGCTATTGCACATTGCACAGGCTGGTGGAATATTATTCCGTGGTGATTGGCTCGGTTGAATTTAACGTACGATGATAAAAAAATGTTTGTAAATTTTATGCGCACTTTATTAGATGGATCGTTTTTGGCTGATAAGTAGGGATATTTCTTTGGGGAGGGGGGAGGGGGCTACAATAATTATTCTAGTACATTTTATGCGTTTCTCAAAGGTAATTACTGAGTGCCCCAATACTTATCCTGTGAGAAAAGTGAGAAAAGGGGTCTTTAATTTCCACCTGGAGGTTCTCCTGACACAAAATACTAATGGTGACACCGCGCGGATCGTACAGTTGTAGGCTTTAGCTTACTAGTTACATAGTTACAGTTGTAGTGGTTAACTGTAGGCAGTTTATCCGTGTACGGCCCTCCAGGTATTTAGTGGTTGGTTGCCAACATCACAATAAGGGATCTGCATTGATGATCACCAAGTTCAATTTTGCAGGCACGTGCAAATAAATAACGAGAGTGCAATCAACTTCTACAAGAAATTCGGCTTCGAGATCGTATCAACAGAGGAGCACTACTATAAGCGGATAGAGCCAGCCAACGCACACGTGCTAGCCAAGAGTCTGAAGCGGCCAGCCGACTCCAAGTGATGGACTTTCTGAGGCCGACTCCTCTCGGAGCCCTAGTGTGGGTTGGCGGCTGTTGCGGCCGCGATATCGCGTGGTTCCCAAGGCGGGGGATCACTTTCCTACGGTGTCCGAAGAGATTGAGTCACCGCGGCGGTTTGGCAGTGGATGGCGCTACGGACGTGGCTGGGCTGAGCCGAACAGACTGAGCCCTTTATGGCGTGTCAGAGGGCTGAGCTAACACAAGGCCCACTGCGGGCACCCTGGAGTCTGAGCTGTGTCATATGCCACTGGGCGAGGCCCGGCTGGTCTTACGTGACGGGTGCAGCGCCGTTGGGCCGTGCTGATCCAGTTCCGGCACAGGGAAGGGTTCACAGCCGCCAGCCGGTGTCGGCGGAAAGCAGACGAGCGAAGGCCTCGGTCGACGCTGGCGCCACCTGTAACTACTACCTGGTAACTAACTACCTGGTTAGCCCGACAGGTAGCGCCATCTGTGTCTGCCACCGAGTGAGCTGTACCGCCTCCCCAGTTCTGTTAATCGTGATTTGTAAACAGAAATACATGCCCGTTGGACGAAATAGTTAACACAGGAACCGTTGACATCTGGTGGATGGATCCGATTTCGACGTGGTTGAGATCGTAAAAGTAGCTAAATTTGACTGCAACACCGAAATTCCGGGCACAGGCTCAGACGGAAATTCATCGAGGTTCAGTCAAAGCGTAATGTTAGGCCAATGATGGGCTGAATATCGGGGGCAATGCATCATACATTTCCCTAATGGTGTAGTCTTTGAGCTGTTTTTGGTTTTGTCGAAACACGATGCCTACCACACAATGAGACTAGAGCTATATGCGATACACGAAAACGCTTTGCGGCTGCCTCGACGGATCCCCAAGCTCTCGTCAGTGTCTGTTAGTTCTAGTGACGGTCGATAGGTGTCAGCTCAGCTACCGGGGTCTGGCTTTACGCTTGTCTTCCCAGGACACTAAAGGTCTTGCCCAGGGCATAAGCCACTAAGTCTTGCTCAGCCGTGATTCGCATTTTTTTTTTTTTTTTGCGAACGAAACTTGGCATTGTATCCAGCCTCGAGGCACGAGGTGTGAGGTGAATGTCTTATGGTACCGAAGCATGGTACGATGTCTGAATGTTTAACCCGCGCCGTGCTGGTGGCCTGAACTTTCCGCCGAGTGCTGGGGGGGGGGGGGGGGCGTTTTCACGCCCCCCCGTCTAACTCGGCTCCTGGGCCACGTAGCGACACGCGGTAAGCGGCAATCGAAAGAGCGTCAAAAATAAGGACGAAAACACTTCGGTCATTTTTTGGGTCAGGTCAAAGGTCAGGTCACCAGAGGTCACCAAAGGTAAAATGTTGACTATTTCAACATTTTGGAAACTGCCAACGGCTATCTCGGGAACCGATAGAGCTACAGCGCCGCGGAAAAGCGCATTCGATAGCCCTTTTACAGACCTTTCTGAGTAATGTTCTCAGATTTGACCTCAGGTCAACGGTTTAGCCTCCAGAGGGCAAAAACTCCAAAAATAGCCGTTTTTACGAAAAACGTTTTTTCGTCAATAACTTTTGACTCATAAGCGCCATGACATTACTTTTGCCAGCATCGTGTTCCTCTCGTCGAGACGCGTCGAATGAACTATTCGTTGACCTTGAAAGGTCATTTTGAAAATTTGACCTCAGGTCAAGGTCATGACCTGACCGAAAAGGGTCATGTTGCATATCAGTCGATCCGTATCGTCGAGCTGAACACATCTGACGTGTTTTCACCGCTCTAGCACGTCTCTATCAAAAGTTATAGCCAAAAAACTGCTGGCGACCAATCATGACCTGAGATGACCTCAGGGGCACACAGAGGGGTCACTGGTGCATTTTTCCTATTCAGTGTGTCATGTTTACCTATGAACCGATGTTTGAGAGCGTTTTGAACGATATTCGTCCAAAAGAGGCGCATTTCAATTTTCTCCCATTGACTTATAATGGAGAGGTCGCAAAATTGACCTGACCTTAGGTCACAGATATCAAAAATCCGAGATATACATTTTATACATACTGTTACTCATATCAATCGCTGAAAGTTTCAAAGTGATCGTTCAGTCGGTGTAGCTATAGCGAGCCTTTGAACTTTTTCTGAGGTAAGGTCACTTGACGTGACCTGGTGACCTGACCTTGAACGGCCTAGGTCTGAAATTTTCACAACATGTGCGGAAATGATGTAGGAACACGTGTACCAAAAACGGCGGCGCTGCGCGCCGCCGTTTTTGAGATATTCGCGAAAAACCTGAGGGGGGGGGGCGTAAAAACGCCCCCCCCCAGCACGGCGCGGGTTAATGATTAATTATTTATTTCATTTGGGTATATTATTTGATAATGCTAAGTAATTTTGTCGCATACCTTACCTATCTGATCTATCTGATCTTACCTATATCTGATCTTACCTATCTGATCTTATCTTATGTTTCATTGGTCATTTGTATAAGAAATATTCTTATACCAATGGTCAATGCTTCTCTGAGTTACTTTCCTGGGGCACTAGCGGATATTTGAAGGCGGGGGGGGGGGGGAGGGGGATCCTCTTCGAAGTGTCTGAAATCGATGAATCTTTTTTTCCCGGCAAAGAAACTTTGAAAAGGGACACAAACGTGTTAGTTAGGTGCGCAGCTCTACCGCCTTATGTCAGTGGTGTGGCCAGGGGGCGTGTGCCCCATCGGGTTCAGACTTCAGAGGCCCCTCGAACCTGAGGGGCCCTGCGGCGCCGATTGGCCGCCGAGGGTCTGTGACTCTGTGGTGCGCCGGTATGCGTTGTAACTTCGTTGACTCGTTACCGTAGCTCCATAGCCATATTTTGACTCTTTTGACTATTTTGACCATATTTGACTGACCTGACAGTGACCCAAGGCCAACACCTCAAGTTGACCTCACCCAAAAAAAGTTTACCATTCGACGCGCTTGAGCAAGGCGAACACGATGCTGACTGCTGTCAAAATCGCAGCTCTCTGGCCATTTCTTTGCGAAGTTATTTGCCAAAAAACCGAACCCGTACCTCGGGCCACTTGACCTGACCTCAGAGGTCACCGGTGACCTGAGACCTTCAAATCGAGTACCAATCGCTGCGTCTCGTAACGACGCACATGCTCGTTTTTTTTCCGCGACGCTCTAGCTCCATCAGGGCGAAACGGTGACGGGGGTTCGTACCCGCCCCCCCCCCCCTCGGCCAGCGTGTATGTAGGAAACCAATAGGTCCGGCGCTGGTTAACTCTTGCCTTTCTCCAGTCGTTGCTCACTTTTTGTGACATAATTTAGACAAGGTCTTCTAGCTATGACATGTAAAAAATTAACTCTTTTTTTGACAAAACAAAAAATTTGAAATTTTGAGAGCAAAAAAAAAGACCGGTAGAATAAGTGCACAGAGGACGCGATGGCCGACCCTTGCAGAGGGGCCCTTGTGCGGATGCTGATGATCCTCACGCACTCGCAGATAATTTGAAAACTGGAGTCGATTTCGACTGGAGGCTCAGTCAAGTGCGTGCTGAACACCTCAATAAGTTGAACGCTTCGTCCCCCATTAGCACAAAAAACACCTAATTTACGTAGACCCGGATGACCTATGACTATCTGTTAAGACTGCTCGTCTGCATAACTAACTCGGTTTTTAGTCGGCTTTTAATCTATGAGTCTGCCGTGCTGCCTGATGGTGTAGGGGAAGTTGGGGGGAACGCCGAAGACTTTTTTCTGACGCCCGTAGCACGCAAGGTAGACAACATACGCTATTCTTGTTGGCGTCATTCGAGAGGCCAGTCTTTTGCCTTTCAAACATACCAGGCGCATTTGATGAATTCGCATACCGTTAAGCGCACAAACTAAAAATATCAAAGAAGTGACTTTTTCGGCGTTGCCCCGGACTGCGGGGAAAGCCGAAAATGGGAGAAATGATCTACGGGGAATGCCGACATTGATGTTTTGCCATTTTATCTCAAACTTTATCCAGAATTCATCAAAGCTGACACACGTTTCAAGAGCTTGAGGACGCGGTGCACACTGGAAGTTATAATTGTGTGATATACCTAATAAGAAAATGCCAGGTAAATCATTCCTTATAGGTAACAGGCCGTTGTGTCGGTTGAAAGTGTAATTTGTGTGACTAAAAATACGCGTTGCTATTCTACAGCAGTAAAGTCCACGTAGCGTGCTTTTAACACGTGCGTAATCGCATGTTTTCGGCATTACCCCAGCCAGCCATACTTAAACTTTCATTTGCAGGCCCATAACTTTTCAACGTGCTGTATAAATTTCAAATAGGCAGCACACTTATGCAAAGACATGCTAAAGATTACTTGACTGAATTGGCCACTGGCCAGACAAACGGTAGCATAATGAGTAAAAAATGCAGCTTCAAAGGCGCATGTAGTACAAGGGAAACGTACCTTGAAAACGCTCTTGGCGCCCTCACAGTCGAAGTATTCCGAATGACGACTCGTAACAAACATGCGATAACTGTAGTCACTTAAAGGGACCCTCCCACCTTCAAAAAAGTTAATGAATTGGCATAAAAGTGATGTAGCGTGAATCACAAAGAGCGAAAATGAACATCTACCAAATTTTACCGGAAAATATTCAACCGTTTTCGAGATATAAGACTTTTATTTTTGTTTACTTTTGGGAACTCCGCTGTTTCTATGACGTCACATAAAGGTTTTCTTTACGTCGGCATTTGGAAGCAATTATTTGGTATCAAAGTGCGACAAATATTGCGCGAATGATGCGTTTATCTTATCAAGGTCAATATATGATGGCCAACAAAGGATTCCAGGACAATTCTTCTTATGGCATTTTTTCGTATCGCAATTCTTCGTCTGCAAATCTTCGTCAGGGCATTTATTCGTATCGCATTACTTTGTCTCGCATCAGGGTATATGAAAATCGGCTCGCATTTCTAGTTCTCTATATACCGTGGCATTTCTTCTTCAACGCAAATATATGCAAGAGTAAGCATTGATGGACAAATAAATGCACCGACGAAGATTTGTAGACGAAGAAATGCGGACGAAGAAATGTCATGCGAGGATTCGTTCGGGTACCATGACATTTATGTGATTTCAAAGTCAAGGTTCACAGCTGATCTGCTAAATCAAGCCAAGAATCCAAACTATCAAAAAACTATAAATATTTGTTTGTCTGTCACAGAGGTCTCAAGCAATATAAGGTTGACATATGTTGAATCAAAAATCTACTGCCACAACTAACATCTCCTGCCTTAGTTTATCATTGTTGTTTTAACAATATACCCTGGTTTTAACTTGCTTTCAAGAGAAACAGAAGCCAGTATCTGATATCACTTCAGATGATTGTTTCAAGATCTGAGTTCAAATGGAATTAAAAGCAAGATCAAGATGAAACAGGGATTATTGCTGTTAACCCGCGCCCTGCTGGGGGGGGGGGGTGTTTGAACACCCCCCCCTGTGGTTTTTCGCGAATAGCTCAAAAACGGCGGCGCGGAGCGCCGCCGTTTTTGGTACACCTTATCATACATCAATTCTACACATGTTGTGAAAATTTCAGACCAAGGTCATTCAAGGTCAGGTCACCAGG